AATGTTATAGCTAGACACCAAACTAAAGCACTTTCAATGTGTAATATCGAAATCTCCCATTTTTTGCTCCGTAACCTTTTGCAAGAATTGATTGCTAAACATTCCTTCTTGACCTGCAGCTCGACATTGTATTTCCAATTTTGCTTTACTATGTAAGGCAATGTAAGACAAATATTTAAATAATTCATTATCTCAATCACAAATAGAGTACCACTAAGGTACCACAATTGCATAGTTTAATTTTAATTACTACTTTCCTTTGTTTACAAAACTCGAAAAAAAAGGGGAACGTCTAATTGCAAGCAAATAATTGCAGTAAAAAGAAAATGTAAACGAGTTGCACTTCAAAACACTTACGACGACAAAAACATGAACTTGAATATCGGGTCTCTTGCATATTCGATGACTATTAGGGTGAACCCATAAAAGAAAACTGTGTCTCTGTAAGTACGTTTCAATGAGTTTACACAATGTCATATATTAGAGGTGAAGAAAGCAGAATGGAGAATAGGAGAATGGTATGACAAGTATATTGAGTAACAAACAGATACATGCACTAAATGATTAACATGCAAAAAGAAAATTAATTGCAGAAGTGTTGTTAGGTACAAGAGCTTTTACTGTAGCTTTTCCGGCAGAAATTCTAAACATTGATGCGAGAACATTACGCAAAACTACTAAAGCAACGCAAGCAACGACAATAGTCAATGCAACAACACACTTGCACAGTTGCAACAGCCAAAGTGCCATTGAATGTTGATGGATTGTTATTGAACGATAAATTTCGAATGGAATACTTTCTAGCATATACACGTAGCGCACACACATAAACATACATACACACATTGCTTTCGTACTCGTCGTACATGAGCTGAAAGAGTTGTGTTCAATTTCATTTACAGTTCTTTATGACAGATGACTCGATGTGTTTATTTGATTGCGTTATAGTGTATGTATGCGTATTTGTGTGCTTGATGTGTGGATGTGCGGATATGTGAATATCTCGCTGCATCATATGTAAACAAAAATTTTCATACAATTGTGCTACGTTGTAGCATTAAAGTTTCTAAGTGTGCACTTGTGCCTTCTTTACATGTGAGTAGTGTGTATTTGAATTACCGGAAATAGAGCGGAAATTTTCTTTTCCATTCGCGTTACGTACACAGTTACGTACAACATTGGTTTTGATAACGATGTGACATAGCGACATGTTCATTGTTCAATTGAGATTGTAGGTAAAATGAAAGAAAGTAATGAAAATAGAAAATTCGTTGTAGCAAAAATTAAGTTTCCCATATGCTAATAGGTTTGTGCGGGCTTGTTATCTACAATGTCTTGCGGTTACAATAACGAATTGACAATTTACAGTTGTGTATGTTGTACTACTAACGTGTCAAATACTTACAAATGTTTTGTTTAATTGACTTTTTATTTCTTGAGATATAAGAAAAAATTACTTAAAGTATCTACAAAATATTATATAATTTATATACGTATTTCTAAACAAAAAAAGTGTCTTAACATAACATAATGAAATATACATGTATATATACATAATATACATATTTATTATATGTGTACGTACTAGTTTTTTTCTGTTTTTTGCTTCTTCTTTGCTTAATAAGAAGTGAGTTAGTGTCTAAAGTACTTTTACTCAATAGTTTCAGTAACCACTTGGGTGTTCCATTGTAACACGAGCTTCAGTGAATTATGATTATATATTTAACACGAAATGATTAAAATAAAAGTTCTAGTTTTCAGCATGGTTCCATTATTAGCTGTAACCCATGAGTAAACCCACCGCAGGACTGAATGTTTTTCAGGGCATCTCAATGAGAGTACTGGGTTTTTTTTTCTCAAAGAATGATGCCAATTTAGCTGCAGATGTCTGCACGTCGTCGGGTCTTGCCCCCTTCTATTAAAAAATTCAGTTCAGAATAAACTCAGCAAATGTTTGCATGATATCAACGACATGGCCACATATTTTGGGTGTACCGAGTGATTACCTGTTTAGCCAGCTCGTCTACTTTGCACTTATCGAAAATATCCCTATAATTCAGAAGAATCTTAGGAACCCAGAGTGAAGATATGTTAAACTGCTTCGACATTTCGTTTAGAGATGTCTACCAATCAAAAACCGTCCTGGATTTAAATTGGTCTAAACTCAAGCACTCAAGCACAAACTCAAGCACAGTAAATATAATATGTGATCCACTTCCAGATCAACTACAGCTTTCCTAATAGCGATCACTTCCTTTGCAATGATGAGGAAGTTTATAATAAGTAGATTTATGAAGTCCTTATGAAAATTTCTCTTCCTATTTTAGAACCGTGTGTAAAATTGATAAGACCCTATCCTATTAAAGAAATTTCCCGACAGCCATGTGTGTCTAGTTGAAAACTCTAGTTATATTACAAACAAGTTTTTGGATCCATATATTCTTTAGGCAATTGTTTCTTCTATCAAAAATTAGACCTAAGTATTTTATATTATCTTCCCATTCTATTTCCACATTATTTGACTTTTTTTTGAATTTTGATTTCTACGTTTAGAACATTTACTCTAATTCTAATTCTCTATCTTCAGAAGTATCTCATTATCTGATCAATATGAGTTTGTGAACTGTAAATGCAGGTGTCATCAGCAAAGAACAAAATTTGGTTCATAGATTCTATAGGAAAATCTGTTCTATGTAAATCATATAATAAAGAAGACATATGTTTTAATTGTAGGTACATACTTCATTTGTAACATATTTTTCTTTAAAGGATGTTCTCATTTATTTTTTATTCCACACTTAACTTTGGTTTTGGTACTTCCATTTTTCCATAGCAGCTAAAAGTTTGGGGAGAAAGTTTGTTATAACATCACGCCCGAGCGATCAAGTCAATTAGTTCACCACAAAGTATGCAGAATATGCTTTTGGAGTACTTTTTTTTTTTTTGAAAAATCCTTTCCTTTTCTGATAGCCATTTTTTGGATAGCCTCTTTTAGGTAGCAATTTGTTCCTATGCTATTTAGAATTTTTATTTTTTTTTCTATTTTGATTCACTGCAAACCTTTGCCATTTCATCAAATGACACGGCATGTTCTAAACATTAGCCAGAGTTCCACTTAATGCACCTCTTTTTTTGAATGCGCCAGGCTTTGATGTACGCCAGGCTTAAAGTACAAACGCTACTTAGATTCTGTCTAAAATCCGTCAATCACGACAATGTACAGCAGCCTCAGCTATAGTTGTTTTTCTAAAATCTTTTTCTCTTTGTATCTTTTGCAATTTTCATTGATTTATAGTACACACGTTTCAAAATTGCATGTTATTTTTCTTGCAACTTTGTTGCTGTTTTGCTGCTATGATTTTTTTAGTGACGTTATGTGAATATTTTTTCCACGTGCACTTCGTTTGCATTCTACAGCATTTGCTTGACTCTCAGATACTCTCTACTTTGGATACTGTAGGCAAAAAAATATAGGTTAGGAACATTAAAAGTCCTCGATGCAAAGACGTGCTTAAAATATTAATATTTTGTGGCATGTTTGTTGCTTCATTGAATGCGTTCGGTTGTCCCCAGTTTTTATTTATTTTCTGTTTTTTTATTTTTTTTTGATGAATAAAAGTGCATTGAATGTACTTATAGATACATCTATGTGTATTGATTGGCATTTTGTTTGCCAACTTTGATTTTGTTTCTTCGTTTTGTATGGAAATATTTTGCATTTCAAAACAACTTTTAAATTCAGTGATTTGAAATTAATGTTAAAAATATGCCATATAAAGTACTAATAAAAATATATATCAAACAAAAATGTATAAAATATATAAAACTAAAAGTAAAAGTAGAGCATGAAACTGTTCCATATTGTGTCTCTCTTATGGTTGGATATTGAAATGAATTTTCATCAGTTTCATATGCCATATATGACAATGAGTAAATAAATGTATAAATAGTTGTGTACATATTGTCATATAGTATCTTATGCAAGTTGCTTTAGAAATATATAGTACTAGAAAATAAATCAATATATAAAAAAAATTAAAAAATTATTCGTAGAACACATAAACTTATTTTCATTCATATTGTTAATTAACACACTTAACACTTACTTTTAGTCTGATTGATCTCATCAAAAAATACTTGGAGCATAGAGCTCTGAAATTATTTGCAAAAACTGACAGACTTATCAACACCGCGTTATCAAATCTCAGAATGGTTACAGACTTCTCAGGGAGGTATGCAGATCTGAGGTCAATTATTGCTTAGTCTGATGAAGTGATAAATAATAATTCAGTCAAGGCGTAAAGAGTGGTTTTAAAAATACCACGAGTTAAGAAAGAGTAAAAGTGCCTAAATAGCTTCAAAAAACTTTTTATAGCAAAGAATGTATATGTAGGAACGCCAACAGTTGTAATAACATAATAGTATAATTCCGATATGTCTTCTATAAGTGTTGGAATATGAAAACTCGTTCCATTGAAATTTTCTTTAAGTCTCCGTAATAATAATAGTAACAGTTATAAAGGAAATCTACATTATTACTTAGGTATATGGAATATAAACTATATAAATTTTGTAGTCAAAATAGGTTTTCATTTAGATTACCTACTAGTGATAATCCTATTAACTATTATCTATGAACTTATTCTATTTTTGTAAAAAATTGCATCGTTTATTTGTATTAGTTAACGTGTCTTATATGAATAACTATGATAATCTATAGTAACCAGTAACCAGTTTTTTTTGGATTTGTACTCATTTTCTTCATACTTACTTCCCTTGGGTGTTATTATATATTTCAGCTCTTATTTCACTTTGAACTCCTTTTATATTTATTTCGCTATCAAAATACTTTATATTATGCCCGTTGTATATTCATTAAATCACTTTTTGTCACCTTTTTTCCCTATAAATCTGGTGGAGTCACTTAATGTCAAAAAGATCCCAGTGGTTTAGTTTTTTTCATATAAGAGTTCATTCAATAGATTTTATTTTTATCAGCTCTAATCAACTCTTACATGATATAAATTAATAGATTTTATATTTTTTCTCTTACAGTGGCATGGTACTCTCACTTGATTATTACAAAAATTGTTTGTATTAAATTAATAATATCGTATAATGTATTACTCATATATTTCACGAATGGTGCATCTTCCCTTCCTGATATCAAAACATGCATAGGTGCGTGCTTTAACTAAACAACAGTGTCGGCATACCAAACTTGAAACTGCAAAGAATATATGTAATGAGATATTCATTATAACTGAAACTTTAAGTATATATTATTCATATTCACCGCCAAATGTTCCATGTTTTATAACACTTAAACTTGTTATGAAAAAACATTTTCTATTCAGTATGTCCCGATAGTCATACTCTGGTAGAATATCTGTTTGCTCTTCATAGTGCTCAGCCGGTAGTATGAATAAGTACACATCTAAATCTTCCAAACTATTCTGTACTGTTGATTTGCTTGGATCATCATTTTCCGAAGAGATTTTATAGTACACTTCATATGGATTTGATGTAGTTGCTGTTGTATCCGATGTCAACTGAGAGTATGTCTTGTCAAATATTGAATATGTTTTACTCTTGTCTATGAATGGTTGATTACTCTGCGAAGGAAATTCGGATAAAAATGTAGTATCATCATCAAATTTATAAGGTGTTATTCTATTCTCTGGTAAAGTTTGTTTCTGGTGTGTATTTGAGAATTCATTTTTATTTGCGGTCGACATTTTTGGCACCTGCACTACACGTCCATTTTCAGTTTGCAGAACTGTGAGTTCAGTCCCAGATGGAGGCATAATCGGAAAACCAGGTTTCGCTACACTATATACGACAGCAACTTTTTTTTCATTGTGGTTTTGTTCTTCTGTGGAACTTGGATTGGATTGGTTTGGATTCTCATTAGTAGGCAATGTTTCTATATATGGAAGTCCATTTACGATAAGTAAATCTACTTCCGTGTCCTCATTATCATCTGTTATCATTTCAGATCGAATTGGTCTTTGCATTTTCATCAAATCAGTCATAAATGGTGACACGTGATGAGTCATCATAATTGTGTATAAAAGATATAGAATCTTTTCATTTACCTAGAAAGCCTTATTAGTTTATATTATAAACATAATTTTATATAATGGCATGTACATATTTATTTCTATTCCTATGTATATATATAAACAATATATATATTTACCATTTTTAATATTATTCTAAATAAATGTTTTCGTGATGACTTGGAGTAGTCGACTGATTTCAGTATGTCAGATAATTTTTAATAATTTGTTGTTAAAATGAAAACATATTGCAATTTTAATTAATTTTATTAGATATGGAAATATAATCTCAAATTATATTCTGGCAAAAGTGCTTATATGACTCTTTTCACAAATAATATTATCGTTATTTTTAATTAATGTTTCTATAAAAAATAAAAACAAAATTAAATTGCAAATTACTATTTTTTATTTAATAAGAAAAAATGAATTTTTAAAGAGGAAACAAGACAAAATTCTAATTAACGTGAAAGCTGTTTCCAGGCTCAAGTTTGGATGACTTATCTCAAACGATAATATTCGTAAATGCCGTGTATATTCAGTTAATATTATATAACTTAACAATATAGATATATGCATTCTTTAAACCTATACATTGTAGATTATTCTCATAAAAGATAATCCACTTCATGGTCTTGATTTGGCAGTACTATTTCAAAGAGAGCTGTCACTTGGCATTATTTAGTTCAAGGTTTACCATTTAATAATATGGACCATTTAATAACCGCTAAACAAATTAAAGTTCTAGAAGCTTTCTACAAAAATGATCATTCTGTACTAGTTAAATTTTGGATTTTATTTTCCTTAGGCTCAGGAAGAGGTTAAATTTCACTTCCTAGATATAGTAATAAACAAAAATATCATATTAGGTATAGTGAAAATGTAGAAGTAACTCTCGAAAAAGCATTTCATCCATAAAATATTAAAGTAGCTGTGACTAGTCTGTAGTTTTTTGAATATCAAAAAGATATGATCCCATATAGTATCGAGGAATTGACATAAGAAAAATGAACAAACAAAAATTAAGCAAAAAATTTTGAGAATAATTACATTTTTTGCCAAACTGATTGAAATCCATAATCTAAATCCATTTAAATTAATTTAGTCCATTTTTGGATATAAAAAAAAAAAGAATTTAATGTACTGGTAATAATAGTATAAAGTTATTTAAGGGAATCTAACACTTTTTATAAATGACCTTGTTTTGATTGCAAAGTTTTTTTTGGATAAAATTTTCTGTGGCATCCTCTATATTAGCAGACATCAAAAATTTTTGTAAAATTTACAAAAATTAAAATCAAGGAATCAGTTTACGAAGTTATAGTACTTTAATATAAAATACCCCTTTTAGGGGTATTTTAGGGGTTTTAGGGTACTCCCAACAGAGTTCAATAATAAAAGAACCAGATAATTTATATAAAACAGGTTACTTTATTTTCTTTTAAGTAACGAATTAGAAATGAGCGCCATACTGTGCCAGAGAGAGGAGAGAGAGAGAGAGAGAGAGAAAGAGAGATAGAAAGGGGAAACCGAAAAAGGGATCCATTTGTCTATGCACTCATAATAGCTCCTATTAGCAATAGTAGTTCTAATCTAATTTTGACATTGATATCAGTATTGTTGATGACATTGGTGTCAAGACAAATGGAGTTCTTGACTGTTCAAAAGTATTGTGGTTAGAAATTCTTCGATGTACGAACGTAGGGTAAAGAAATTACCTGCTATATATATATATATATATATATTATATATATATATATATATATATATGTACTTTATATCACTGACTACAGCATATGCAACATGAATTAATCATAGTGGAAACATAATTTTTGTAAATATTGAACAATTTTGATATTACCAACTTTATAGACCTTTTTAAACCTCAATAATCTTTTTATACGGTAACTCAATATTCCTAGGATTGCCGGTACAACTTAACAGAACCTATATAATATTTAATTATATAGAAAAATTGTTAATCAGTGTACTTGTATACTCATTTTGAAACAATTATTACAAGTATTAATACTGAAAATTTATTAAATCAATTAATTTCTTTTGAATATTAAATCCATTTTTTGTTATAAGATTTGGAAGAGACAATGTTTTTAAAAGTACTTGCTAATAAAAGTTGATGTATCTGACTGAGGTCTTCAATGTAAACATATAGTAGGGACCCGAGCAATTGTATCTATACGCCTAGTATGTAAACTAAAAAAATAAAGACAGTATATATTGTACTCTACCTAACTTGCTTAGGTTTATAAAATACATAAATAAAATAAACAAGTAGCTGTAGCATAGTCTTCCATCTGAGTTTTGGTATATAGTACTCCCGAATGAGATAATAATTATAATACTAATAATATTTTATCTAGCACTATATTTTGTTGTATAGTAGTTTATATCATAGAGAAGTAATGATTTTCGTAATTAAAACATATGGGGCCTAGTACGAGAGTTTTGTTTCATTATATATTAAAAGATCTGACTATTATTTCAATATTTATTACGAAAGAGGTCTTATCTATTCGGTACTATAATATTTCTCTTTATAATGTGTTGTGTTTTTAGTAACAAATTTATTAATATACTTGCCATGACATTTGATTAAATAGAATTGATTTTAATAGAGTACTCAGTTTCGAAAACCATGCTGGAAGATTGAATCTCCCTTTCAATAATTCCGGTTGTAGTTATGGAGGGGACGATGAAAGTGCCTTTCATTTGCTTTGTTTTTCCCGAGGGCATACACGTCGCCGTTCTACTATTTTGAGAGTCGCATTTTTTGAGGATCTTGCCATTGAACAGGCAAGATCTCCCATTAAATAACATTTTAAGTTCTAAGTTTTCCCTTATACGATAACCTAATCTTTTTTGTGACACTAAATACAAACGGTGTTTATAATTTTTTACTTTATAAAAGGTTTCCCGATATCATATTATATATGCCGGAGTGTCAATCAATCTAAATGTAATTATAATAGATCCATGTAATTAGTTAATTAGCAGACTATTAGTAAAACTATCTATCGAATAAACTTAGTGAATTAGTATGTATATATTCATAGATATATATATATGTTTGTAGTAAGTAAAAATCCATGAAATTTATATCAATGAAACTTTATCTCTGTCATTGAGTTTTTAATGATTTTTTTGTATTAGTTTTCTAAATAAAAAAAATAGTGTTAAAAAAATTTATATATTTTTTAAAGATGACTAATTAGTAGTACTATACTATTAGCTGGACAAAGTTATATACATGCTCTATCGCTAACCATATTACAATAGACTAAGTCGGTATTTTCAATCCCGATGTAGTATGCGTAGTCCGTATAATACTGGTCATATAATTCAAGTGGACAGCAATGCATACAAATTAATGATTCCGTTTTTTGTGGCGCTAAAAAGAAAAAGAGAGAGAGAGGGAACCATATTTAATATTGTTTAAACAAAAAAAAATATTTATTATAATTATTAGTCTTTTTTTTTTTAAAGTACTTACATTCGTCAGGATTGACCTCAGTACTGTAATAACAATTTGGATCAAAAGGATCAGCATATGTTGAAGCTGTTATAATTGGAGAGTTTGGCATTCCTTGCGACTTTCTAGATTTTGGTGAAATAGTTGTTGTTCTTGCTTCTGGTTGTTTTCTAAGTTTTGGTGGAAAAGTTGTTCCTGTTTGTGGTTGATTTATAAGTTTTGGTGAAATAGTTGTTATTATTGATACTGGTGGTTTTCCAGGTTGTGGCGATGTAGTTGTTGTTTCTGTTATTGGTTGTTCTGCATATTTTGGTGGTATGGTAATAGGTAATTTTGTTATTGATTGTTCTCCAAGGTTTGGTGAAATAGTTGTTTTTCTTGTTGGTCTTGTTCTTGGTTCTTTCTGGCGGTCATCCTCCATTTTAATTTTTTTGACTTCATCTGCAATTAAATCCTTTAAAACTTGCAAAACTTTCGGATTATTTATAATTTCTTCCGGCGATAGAGTAGGCGTTGTAGAATTATCAAGTGAAGTAAGATTCTGTTGTGTTTCTGCAGTTTCCAGTTGAGATGGAACCGGATTGTACATAGCATTCGATTGGTTCTGTGGTTTTTCTGCTTCTTCTGATTTTTCTCTTTCTGCTTCGGTTTCCGTATTGTTGTTATTTTCATTTGACATATCATCCCAAGGATATTTAAACATTATTTCAACATTTGGAATTATAAGTGTACCGTTTTCTAGCGGCAAAAATTGCACTACTAATTCATAGGTATTTTTCTGATCTTCTAGGCTTTCGGGTTTGGTTTCTGTTTGCGGTTTTGTGGGGTTATTATCATTTTCTTTTAATGGTGCAGTATTAACCCCATCAGTTTCTGTTACTGAAACAGAAATGATACTTAGAAAAATCACCACATGAAGAATCTGAAAGCAATGAACGTACATTAAGTTTAATAATATTTAATGTTAATTATTTTTTTATTAATTTTAACAACTATTAATAATTTCCTTTTTGTTTCAAGTTTTGTGTTTTGCTAAATTTTATTTTATATTTCACCATTTTAAAAGACATAATCCTTCTCCAATTTAACGTTCAGACTGTAGTTAGATAATATCGGTACTGTAAATAATAACACGGTCGAGTTAAGTAAATTAGTTGCTATATTTATTTTACTAAATTCTGTTTTATTTGGATAATATACAAAATACAATACTTATTCAAGTAGAAGTTTCGTATATAAATATTGATCAGTCAGTGTTTCACTTTGTAATGAAACTATTATAACGATACTCATTAGGGTTTCTTGTTAATTAGTTTCTTAAGTAAATATTTTTCATAAGTAAAAGCTGTTTTTTAATCATTTAAGTTTTTTTTTAATTATTAATATAATAATACATTAAAAATTTTGTAGAGATCTGTGTTAGATCTGTACAACTTATATAACTTGTTATATGTACTTTATATATGGTATATGCGGACCAAAGTTTGGTAAAACACGGTCTTTTAATTGGAGACCTATTATTTGAATTTTTTTCAAAATTTGAATTAAAATATAAATTTAAAAATTAATATTATATTTTTTTATTATATAATTTTTACATTTTTTTTGATATTTATTTTTTCATATTTTTTTATTATTTTATTTACTTTTTTTTAATTCAGTAATGCCTCAAATAATTTCACTTTTAATCTGTTTAGTATTTCTTTATTTTTTTTCCCAATGAAATTGAGATATGAAAAAGTTTTAAACAAATATAATTTTAAGATACAAATTT